GAACTGCCTTGACGTTCGTATTGAATATTCTGACTTTGATATTGGTTGAAAGTTGTTTCGAGTTCCATATTTTCTTCAATTGTAGGAATGCTGTCCTTGTTTTGCCAATCCCGCCTTAACGTCTGCATCTGAACCTCCTTGTCCATCGACGATGCTTCCTAGTTATGTGAAAGACTTGTAGTGGCATTGGACAATAGCCACACAATCCACAAAGCTGTGAACACGAGACTACTCAGAAAATAAATATTCAATATTTGACGCCGAGAAATACCTAACAATGGAGAAGGCGCGAACAATGAATTGGAGGAATTAGAGTTGATCAAACGGCTTGGCTCGGCCATGCAGGCGTGGTCCCTGCTGAATGTTATCTTATATCTCCTATTCATATTAAATATATTGTCCTTTCTCTAGCCTAACCTTGTTCTACATCATGTATTGGTAATTGATACGATACAGTGAGTTGGCGTAGTCGATGGTGTGACTTCCACGTAAGATCTTATAGATTAGGCAGTTATATCATGACAAATCTACAAACTTAGGATTAGGTCTATTATTAGAGCAGCACTAATATCATATTAGACCATAGTTCTACAGACTCTACGTCCTCCAGATTTTCGCCATCAAGAGTGATTGGATTGCTGTTTTCCACTTTGAATTTGAGGACCTTGGTGCAGAGACTGCTGCCACACCGGCTGTCTTCATCTGCATTTGTTCGTGTGTACGTGATAGGAGGGCTAGGTCATCTGCGAAGTCTAAATCGTCTAAATGGTTCTGAGCTATCCATTGTACTCCGTTTTTTCCCTAAGATGTCGAGGTCTTCATAATCCAGTCGACCACCAGAAGAAAGAGGAAGGGAGAGAGTAAACAGCCTTGGGCGTCTACTGCATCCTACATCCGGTTCAGCAACACTCTGTTGAATACTTTCCCTGGTATTGACAGTAGTGTAATGCCTCTGAAGTTTTCACATTTGCTCAGATCTCCTTTCTTTGGAATCTTGATGAGGTGTCCTTCTTTCCAGTCCATCGGCACTTGTTCCCCCTCCCAAATCTTTTTGAATAGAAGATAAGGCATGTTTGTAGTTACTTAGATGTCTGACTTCTGCTGGTGTGTTGTCGGGTCCTGCTGCTTTCCCGCTCTTGATTTGTCTGACGGCCATTCTAATTTCTTCCGTAGTTGGTGGGTTGACATCTATAGGGGGATCTAAGTGTGCTGCTTCGATGTTCGGTGGATTCATAGGAGCCGGCCTTTTCAGGAGTTCCTCAAAGTATTCTACCCATCTGTTACGCTGTTGTTGAATTTCAGTGATTGGCTTGCCTTCTTTGTCTTTGACCGGCCTCTCTGGTTTACTGTAGTTTCTTCGTTGTATCGTGAAGTTGTTTCATATTTCCTTCTCTTGCAGCTTTTTCTGCCGTCGTTGCTAATTCTTCCACGTATTTCTTCTTGTCGGCTCTAATGCTTCTCTTCACTTGTTTGTTTGCTTCTATTCACTCAGCTTCTGCTTGGACTTTTCCTGCTCGTGTTCGGCTGTTGTTTATTGATTCCTTCTTGTTCTTCCTTTCTTTGATCCTGTCCAGAGTTTCTATAGAGATCCATTCCTTATGATGATGCTTCTTGATGCTCAGAACCTCTTGACACGTTGAAGTTAATGCTTCTTTGATACCTTTCCAGTTGTCCTCCATAGTAGTTTCTTCTTCTTTCAGTAGATCTTGTAAGGCTTGGAACCTGTTGTTAAGAGCTATCTTGAATTCATTGAGTTTGACAGTATCTCGAAGGAAGGCTGTATTGAACCTTTGTAGTGCTGTTTGTCCAGTTGTCCAGTTCTTCTTTGGCTTCAGTTTCAAATTGGCCACAACTAGGTGGTGATCTGAAGCTACGTCAGCACCTCTCCTGGTTCTCACATCTTCCATTGTCCTTCGGAATTTTTTGTTGATGAAAATATGATCTATCAGGTTTTCTGTAGTGTGGTCCGGTGAGATCCATGTAGCCTTGTGTATACGCTTGTGTGGAAATATTGTGCCTCCTATGACCAATTTGTTGAATGCACATAGATTTGCAAATCTTTCTCCATTTTCGTTTCTTTCTCCCAGTCCATGTCGTCCCATGATATCTTCATATCCAGTGTTGTCTATTCCGACTTTGGCAATTAGATCTCCCATCAAAATGGTTAGGTCCTCCCTTGGGCATTTCTCAATGATTGACTGTAGCCACTCGTAGAACTGATCTTTAATGTCGTCGTTGCTATCATTGGTGGGTGCATAACATTGGATAATATTCATTGTGATCCCCTCCTTCTTTGTTTTGAATGATGCTTTGATGATTCTGGATCCGTGAGATTCCCATCCTACAAGTGCATTTCGTGCTACTTTGGACAGCATAAGAGCGACTCCCTAAGTGTGTGGAGCATTGTCCTCTTCGTGACCGGAGTATAGCAGCATCTCTATCGTATTTAGCCCTTTCTGTCCAGCTTGGATCCAGTGGGTTTCGCTAATTCCCAGTACTGCTAAGTTGTATCTCCTCATTTCTATTGCTATTTGACTGGTCTTCCCGGTTTCCCACATTGTCTGGACGTCCCATGTACCTATAAAAATTGTCGCTCTGGTTGTTAGAAGGGGCATCGGCCTCGTGGCTTCCGAAGGAGCTCGGCTTTCACCATGAAGCGTCATAATTCTTCTAAATGAAGACCTTCTAACTCCCAGGCCAGAGTTAAAATGGTTTGAATTATTTTTTCTGGTAAGCGTTTTTTTAGCGAGTTAGTTTTCTACGGGATGGGGACGCTAACCCCATGCCCAACCCTCCTCCTTTACCCATGCTTGAGACCGGCAATAACCCTATAAGAGTTGGTAAAACGCTACAGGTGGGCAAAAAACTGTATGGTCACAATTCCTGAAGGTCAGTAAAAAGATGAGAAGCAGTTGGCTCAATCTGAAATCTTACATAAATTACAAAACAAGAACTCTGTATTGGATTCAGAATCTATTTAGTGAAGGGGGTGGATTTGAAATAATAGAGGATGATCAAGAAAGAGCAGAGGCTATGAAAAACTATTTTGGGATAGTTTCCATTCAGTGGTTTCTTCTCGACGAAGAACTAGTCCCAAATTCAAGGTCACAAAATCAGCTGCTCAGAGTGGACTTAGGTCGAGACGATTTACTTTAGGTTCTTAGCACTTTAGGTAGGGAAAGATCAACAGGACCGGGTGAACCATGCTCTCAAATCTTGACAAAAATTTCACAATATATTATATTCACACTGACTACGATATTCCGTATGTCACTTGACCAAGGTGAGTACCCAACAGATTGGAATAACGTAATCGTCACTGGAATATAGAAAACGAAATCAATACAACTCTCACCAAACCACAAACCTGTCAGCCTTACTAGTGTATTAGTTAAAATACTGGAAAGAATAGTCAAGAAGACCATGATATTCGTAGAAACCAACTTGTTAAATATTGAGAACCGTGGTTTCAGGGAAGAATTATCTCATACAACAAATATCTTTATAGCAAGAGAACAATCGAGAAAGGCGCTAGATATTGGAAAACCAGTGGATATTCATCTACATAGACTTCAGTAAAGCATTTGAAAAGGTGCCAATAAATAGACTGCTCTTGAAGCTGGAAAATCTAGACATTACCGGGCCTCCACTATAATGGTTTAAGGATTTCTCGGTAGGTCGTAGACAGAAAGTCAGAGCAAATTCCAAGTGCTCTACCTGTAGGCCAGTACTTGGTGGAGTACCTCAAGGTTCTGTCCTAGGTCCTTTATTTTTATGGTGCATGTGAATGAACTCCCGAGTATAGCTGAGTCCCCAATGTTATTATACGCTAATTACGCAAAAAGTTGGCGAGAAGTATTGGGAGGCTCAGATGCATGTGCACTTCAGATAGACTCAAATATTGAGATGAGCTTGTCTAAAGATTAGCTGATGCCTATTGACGAGGCAACTTGTGTCTAAATGCATATTGAGGATATAAAGGTAAATAGATATACCAGAGGGCAAAAGTCATTGTCCACATCTCGGTCTGACAAGGACCTTGTGGTGGCAACGAGTCATGAAATTAAGACCGTGCCCCACCGCCGGAAGTTTGCAACGAAGCAGTTTAGGACCATATAGACTTTAAGACGGACATCTACAAATCTGGAAACAACCACTTTCACTACAGTATAGACAATCCTAGTGAAAATAAAGCTTAATAATTGCGTTCTGACGCCAAGACACTGTCTAAAATGTGGCTCGGACAACCTAGAATAAATACAGAGGGCAGCTAACTGTGAAATTCCAGAACTCCGGGGTTTACCATACATAAAACGGTTTGAAACGCCAGTCCTCTTTACTCTGTCCCAGCGCAAATTAAAAGGTGTTCTTATTTTAATATATAAGATCATAAAAAGTGATTTTAGATCTAGTATATCACTGCTTTTTCTTCCGTCTAGATCTGGACATCTCAAGGAACATAGCAGACAAGTAGAAAATACAAGAACGAAAAAATTAATCATGACATGCAGGTTTCACACCGATTCATGGATTCATGGAACCTGTTACCCTAAGCAGTGGTGTCTGCACCTTCAGTTGGCTCATCCAAGAGAAGATTAGATACTCATAGAAGCATACTAGAAAGGGAAAAACAAGCTGTTGGCTTTCTGTTTTTACTAAATAAATCTGAATCTCAAGTTGGAAATTCACTATAGCAGGTTAAATTATACTGATACTTAAGTCAAAAACTTTTACTTCTTACCTTACGGAATTATTCGAAAGAAGCCATCAAGACTCTTTAGTTTTAGAAATGGTGTTCAGAACAAGCCGCGTAATAATTTATCAATATCAGGTGCCTAGTCCTAAAAAATCAGGCACCTACCTTGAGGCGTTGATGAATCGACGTTGTTAAACACAGGGAACTATTCACCAAAACCCAATTCGTGAGACATAACTCAAGCTTTTTCCAAGTGTATAGATCGAATTGGATATTGAAAAATTTAAACAAGCAAAAAGTAACTTCGAGACATTTAAATTTTTTCTCTGTTTTCGTGCAAATATGCATCGCAGGTTTTCACTTCGAACTCTTTAATACTTGTTCTATTTAGTTTTTCAGTAGAAGAAAATAATGACCACAAGAGAATTATTTCCAATAATGATCATGATGAGGAAAAACCCACCATTGTACAACAAACATTACTTAACGACTCTAATATTTCAGATGTTGAAAAATGTGGTAAAAGTTTGTGAGCAATTTATGTTATAACGCAACTACTCTAGCAAACAATGTCAGTCGTATAGTGGATGCTTTAAGATGTGCACTTGTTGGTTTCGAGTTAGTTGTAACTTGACTCATGTTCTCTGCTTTTAGAAGGCATATACAGGCAGAAAACAGTTGCACGGATGATATTAGGAATCTATGCAATGAAGCTAAATCGTTGCAAGCAAAATTAAGAGACAAGAAATGTTTGATAATAAGTCATTTTCAGAATGTTGTTTCAAATCTTGCTGAGGAAAATTGAAATGGTACTTGAACTAACTACGAGTCAAACTCATCTTTTTTTCAAAAAATAAATACAAGTTATGCATATTTATGAACCAGGAATTTGTGGCCAGAAAAATTGCTCGTCGAAAGACTGTTAAACTATAGTATAGCAGGAATCTACATTACCAATCGTAAGCATCGATGTGGAAACAGAAACTTTGTGATTACTAAAATCAAAAGCACAACATTTTGTGTCACACTCTTCTATGAGGTGACAACATTTTAGTTCAGTTTTGGGGCCTAGTACAAAAAAATCCGTGAAAGATTTACTGATTCAATCACACCATTAAGAGAATTTCATTTGAAGTTCGGAATTCTGAATGAGCTGTATTCGAGACCAGTGAAAGGAATTCTAGTTGCAGAATCATCGGGTGAACATTGAGAATTTGTATTATAAAAATGGCATGCTGAGGTCAAGTTAATTTACTCGTTCGTGAAATGATGAGTAATGTAAATACTTGTAGTTTAATAACAGCTACTTGTTCAACTTGTTATATGTAGTAATCTACGTTAAGACTCACGCTTGCATCTCTCCATAGCAGTACTCAAATTTCCGTGTTTATAAATGAGTCGAATATTACACAACCAAAATGTATTTAATGCTCCAAATAACTAGAGGTGAAACACGAGAGTGAAAATAGAATATGACGCTAGACAGTTTATTGAGTAATACACAAAACTATTTTTCCTTTCTAATACTAACTTGTGGATCATAATTATACAGATACTCCAGTTATTTCTATCATGCGAAAAACAGATTATGCACTTCCCTATACATTAAATTTCATTTCCCGAAGTTTTCTAGTTAGGTGCTACATTTAATCCCATGGCAAAAAAACACGTGTGTGGTTACAGTTTAAGCATCTGCTTATAGCTGAAATATAGAAGGTAACAGTTAAAGGCGAAGGTTGTGTATAGATCTAGAAGTACATATAAGGACTCAAGATAATTGTAGTTTAAGTTCACTTTCATTTATCATACCACTGTTGCCTGATGATTTTGAAGGGTTCACAGTCCGAGACATATTTGTAAAATACAATGAAAGTTTTTGCGAGCAAACTGCAACCAGAAATATCAGCTACTTAAGACTGATAAATTATATACCAATATTTATTCTGTGGATGTAACGATTTGATAATATTTGGGCTGTCTATTATTTACTATCTTATAACGAGAGATAAAAAAGTCAAGTGTGTCATTTTCGGAAAATAGAAAAATTACTTGAACTTATGTGCTATTGTCTGGTGAAGCAATAAAAAAGGAGCTTATTTGAGACCTTGACAGAAACATTGAGAATGATCACTTCATAACATAAAGTGTATGTTTTATTACTGAAATATATTGTATATACCATGAAAAACGAATAATTTTCTTCATGAATGAAATATACATATTCAGAACCGTGGCTTTAATGACAATAGAAAAATGTTCCCCCTAACAGTATTATTTTCAGAAATAAGGAAGTTGGAAAATATCCATCTTCTTACAAATAAATTGAAAGGGAAATGGCAAGACCGGTAATGTTAAACGATTTACATACATAACGGAAAATAAATCGACTGTAACAGTTAATAAAAGGCAGTTTATCATGAGTGTGGACCAGTTCTCGTTCCATTCTCATCAGAACCATAACTTGTTGGCTTATGTGATTGGTGAACACGACATAAATTTGGGGTTATTGTTTCAAAACTAAGAAAAAGAAATATATACTATGATTAAATAGTGAGTTCGTTTAAAACAACAGTTTTAAATTTGAAAATAGAAACTCAGTAAACTAAGGTAACTAAGGACGAGTAGATTAGCCTTAAAATAGAATCAGTCTGATTGTAGTTACGTTGAAAGAAGTACCATACGAATCCGCACGAATTTCGTATGTCTCTAAGGCAGAAAATATCTAAATCTCAAAAATAGGTTACATGTCTAACAAACACTGTGTTTTGTTAAAAAGATGAGGAAATTAGTCACTTTGGAGATCAGTAGAACGCCAAAGAAACAATGTGTATTTGTCATTTTTAGATTCCCAGGCTAAAAGATCTATAGTTACTGTGTCACAACAGATAAACTTGTGAAATGGTACGCGAATTGGAGAAATAGTAAAATACTATTTCTTCCAAATGTAGAGGAAAAATTTTAGGTTCTTGGTCAAAGTTGTCATGATATATTATAAATATAAACGCAATTGACACTTATTGTGTCTACCATAACAGTGATTTTATTTCTAACTAATTATACTGAAAACAATAAACTTACTAAATCTCTCTAATCCCTCTCACGACAAAATATGAGAAAATTATCATTGCTGCAAGGACAGCATAAAACCAAAAATTGGTGACATTATCAGCTGAAAGATATGAATACCACGTACATAATATTAATAAATAGGATTATATAGTATCTATTATCATTTCCCAAGATATACTAACATAGTATACACCCTAAAACTACATGATATGAAATTGAAAACATCCTTTCCCATAAAAGTGCAGTTCCTGATGAATATATCTTCATAAAGTGATATGATTTACTACACAAATGAGCTAAGATTCTGGTTCCAAACATTGCAATTTATAATTTTTTTCTAAATTGTGTTGATTGGAACTCCATATACAAGATTAGAGTATTTTGACTATTAGATTGTGATCAATATCATGTTGTTTATTTCCTATTTCTGACCAAATTTTATTTAATAAGTTTCCAGACTAGTTACTAAATCAATTCACTCGAGTACTATTACAAAAATGGGAATCCTGATTCTATCCGAAATTCAAACTTTTATTCAGTAATACTAACTTAACTTAAAATTCATGAAATATTCTACATATCCTAAACTGTAAGCAGAACCACACAAAATAGTCAGGAATGCAGATACTAAAGTAGACAGAAAGTCACAAAACAGAATGGATATTAGTTGAAGTGTGTACTCTTGAATTGGGTGAAAGTAAAAGATAAATACCAATAAAGAGATAATAAATTTAAAAACGGTAGGTAAAGACAAGTAAATAGAATGTTCCAGACTAAGAAAAAAAACAATAACTTGTTTGCAGCAGTATAACTGATTACGAGCGATACAATTTAGTCATTCCGTTAAAGTTAAATAGATTTATCGGTCTGACTACCTTCAGTGTTTACCAAGCTACAATTGATCTAGGTAACAAAACAGTAAGTTAGGTGGTGATTTTATACACACTACGAATGTATCAGACAATTCAACCATTGGAAATCCGCAACTTCACTAAGCGACTTAATTCATTTAATTCAAGACGTTTAGAAGTACTCTAGTCCACAGACATGTGATAGGTTTTCAAAAACACTTTATTTACTCCTCGGTGAGTTCTTCAACCCATATATGGCATTAAGAGAAATGCGTAATAAATATACCCTATAACATACAGTCTTTAAGGCTCAGGTCCAATGAGTTTCCTTTATATTGAGCACCGTCGAATTGTATCTTCTCGTCTCCGTAGCTATTTGACTAGTCTTCTAGGTCGCCCATGTCCGAACACTACATATACCTACATTAATTGTTGTTCTGGCTGTTAAAATGGTCATTGGCCTTGTGAAGAATCTCGGCTTTCACCATGAGACGTTATAATTCTTCTGAAAGATCCCTCAAATTCTAGGGTAGAGTTTTATTTGTTTATTCTGGCTGGCGTTTTTCTAACAAGGTTGTTTTCTACGGGATGGAGTTGCTGACCCCATGCTCAACCCTCTTCGTTCACCCGCGCTTGCGATAGGTAGTAACCCTAGAAGAGCTACGGGCAGAGCGCTTACGACATACATTGAGCAAATCATCAAAATGCATCACGAAGCGAGCGCTAACTTGGGATCCTGAAGGAAAAGAGGAAGGCCAAGGAACACACTGAACCGGGAATCAGAAGCCGACATCAAAAGTGATTAACTGGAAAGAGTTTCCCGAGACAGGGTTCGGAGAATGCTAGTGGGCGATTTATGCTCCTCCATGTGAACAGGCGTAATTACAACAAACAATTGTGTTTCATTTAACAGAGGATAAGTTAGCCATAATGAAGTAATGAGCAAAGAGTTCGTTGGACATCAAACGACTACAAGGATTGAGAAAACTAGTGATCCATATAATTAGACACATTTTTCTCTGGTTCAAATAAATTTATTCGGAATATTCAAAGTATGGATGCGTGAAATAGATATAAAACATTGCTTAGGACTTCTCAGTATCGATGATTTTTGAAAGTCGGTTGGAATGCATTGTCAAAAGAAAAACATCTAAAATAGGGGAAGTGGTGTAACTGACAAATATTTTTCAGTGTAGTAATTCAAAACGGTCGGTGGTTTTTAACTTGCATCTGACCCCTATTACTCCAGTACAAAACTTTGGTAACAAAATGTCATAAATATACTTATTTGCAGCTTTGTGACATAATTATATGGACGAAAAATATTGTTTCCAATATACGTAATTACATTATTCTCTATTACCCCATGTTGACCATATTTATAATGATCAAGTATCTCACAATTCCATTTCATTTATAAACTAGTTCAAGTTAACACTTCATATTAGTCATTCCAACATTAACAATTTGATTTGATTTTACATAACAAATAACTCTTGATTTATATGTTATAATTTAAAATGATATACTCTGTCTTGGCCAATTTTATGGATTATTAATTTGGATATATAACTGTAGAACCTGATGAGAAATTATTGAAAAGAATATTCCTCATTCATATAATTGTGTTTTGATATAATGGGGACTTTTCAACAATTATATAAGTAAATTATTGGAACTGGTAACCTACTTTTGTGTTCTTCAGATTTATTATTAAATAAAGTTTTTATGAGTTTACCTTATTATAATATTGTGCCACTAGATAACGCAAACAAAAAGTGTGAACTCAAGAACTGAAGTCACTATCATTTTTATATTATACAGCTTTGGTAAATACAGATTTATCTTACTAATTTATGAAGAACTAATGAGGTGAGTTTGAAACTAGTCTTTTCGAATTTAAGACTTACAATAAAACGATTATAAGAAAAACGTTTCGAATTACTTACGAGGTAGGTAAAGCACATGAGAGTTTACTTCATCCATTTTTAGTAATTGTCACTAAAATATCGAAGTTGGGAAAGGAAGAAGCTTGATCAACCGCTTCATAACTTATTTAGTCCAATAGACTAAATAGTAGTAGAGGTAACCTTGACAATAATGGCCAATCATAAAAAAGATGAGGTCAGAAAAAATTTATCGCAAGCTGGTCAATAAGTCTATCAAATGTGAGAATCAAGGAATGTACGTAATTTCTGAAAAATTGCCAAATTAATAAGTAAGAGACAGTACCGGCTTGGATGAACCAAAAAATGGCTTATCTTATACAAAAACTTACAGATGAATACCTACATGTACAAGCGAAATAAAATGATGTGATTGGATAAGATGGAGCGGAAGTAACTGAACTTTAATAACCAATAAAGAAAAACAATGATTAACTTCAGTATCTACTGATATCTCAAACCTAGTACAAATTTTCAATTTAATGAAATTGTCGAATTATACGACAGATAAGTGTATCTTTTAAAAAAAGAAGGCTAAAATAGCATGGAGATAGTTATATCTGATAATAAATTGAAAATTTCGATTAATTTTCAAAAATACTGAATGAAAAACATTAGGTAAGATTTCGAAACCCATTTAACATTCACATTCATCAGTTCTAAGGAAGTGATAACGAAAAATGATAAGATAATCAATAATGTGTTGGATAAGTCCGATTAAATCAGCCCATCAAAATGTTACATGAAAAATAAAAAGTCGGGGATACATAGTTGACTATATATTTAAATCTTTACATCATTGTATACAAGAAAATAATAATTCCGAAATCAAGTCAGCTTTTGACGCTTCGATTTAGTCAATTTAAGTTTTCTTTTATGTTTTTTCTTCTCGAAGTGACAAGATTGTTGATCTTTATTTTTTCTAAGAAAAGCAAAATTAAAAAAATTAAGATATAGATAGGTTAAGAAACGATATAAAATCTTTTTGACATAGTGATCCCCAAAGTGTATCGTTTGAGAGATCAGATATATATAAACTGTGATGAATATTTTCTAATAACATTTAGGATATTTATGCTATTTTGCAGTCAGTGAAAAAGTTCATTTTCGTATTCACGTCAGTAAATTAAATAGAGTAACTTAAAGACCAGTTGAATTTCTTCATTGTCATAGGGTTCTTCTAATTTCTAAATAAACGGAATACACTTATCGTGACATAAAATAACCAAACAGGATTAATTAAATAAATTCACTTTCAAAGCTATATAGCCGCAAAGTCAGAATATATCTGTTAAAAATAATGATAAAAATTTGCTGATCCATGTAACAGAGGGGAATACATAAACACACAAGAATGTTATTCTTAATCAGAAACTCAATAAGCAGTTGTTAAGATCTTGAATATTTTATCCAAAAGATAGATCAAGATTAATAATTGTAAAAGAATTGAATAATACACGGAAACATAAAATGTTGAAGTTGAAACAGTATAAAAACCAGAAGACATGGCATTTACTTTGTAGTGCATATTTTTTAAATTAAGTTAAAAAATAACAATAACAAAAAGAGTTACTAGGACTCGTGGAAATAACCTTTTTGTCTTTAACAAGAAATACTTTTTATGCTTCTATTAAGCAAGAAAAATGTTTTCGTCACACAATTGATTTAAATGAAAATTGTTCTCAGTAAATCAGTATAAAATATAAGATTTTCAAGGGAATATAAACAAGTCATTAACAAAAGTTTATTACGGAATTATCTAAATATGTTAAATAAGTATCTGGAATTTATAATTAATATCAATCTACCAAAAAGAAATGGCAATAAATCCTAATAAAATTATTTTTGCTATGTAAGAGAAGATTTAAAAGATAATCATAGTGATTGTTCATAATGAATAAGTCACTGATCCTACAAGCAATATATATAAATTAATCAATAGGCGGAATAAATTATTATCTAATCCTATAATAAATAAATTGACCAAGTCGATCTGAAACCAAAAGAAAGAAACTCGTTTTTTTTCTTGAAGATATAATAACTTCGTTGGAATTTCATGTTTAACACGAACAATTAGATGAAGATGTATGAAACTCATAAGACTGAATCGCACCGATAATGTAAGATTTAATAATGTTATATCATCTCTCAAATCGTCCCAAGTAATTATGCGAAATATATACGAAACATTAGTATGTTTTCAAATGAAGCGACTTCAACTCTACTTTCTGCGAAACTTACTACTTACCGTTTATTGTTATTTTTTTGATTAGATGGTAATTTAACAGTAAGTGAAGAAAGATCAGCTCCATGTCCTACTACAGCTTCAGCCCAATCAGTTTCAGAACCTTGAATTTTGTAAGCAGAGAATAAATTACTTTGGCCGGTAATTTCTTCAGATATTAGTTGATGTACTAAAGTAGATCTACGTTCACGTTCAGAGTCACTGATTTCTGATTTACATTCCAAATGATGATTATTTTTGTGTTCTGCATTTTTTGAATTACTATCGCTATCATCATCTGAAAGTGAATTTTCATACTCTTCAGACTTGTCTTCGTCAGACTCTGATAAAGTATTTTCATCTACTCTAAGCGCGGCATAATTTCCGTCCTAGAAAAATTCAAATGTGACGAAAATACAAATTATGGTACACATTCAGTGCATTTATAAATTAATTAAAAACAGAACATTATCCACCTATAATAATAAACAGTAAGTACCGAGAAAAATACATACTTTAAAATCAGAAACATTTGATAGGTTCGATATCTCAAAATACTTGAATATGGCTTAGAATTAGCTTAGTTTATGTTTTACAGTACGAACACTTACTTTCAGATCCACATCGATGACTGGCTGCAATTGTCCATCGATAGTATTTTTCTTTGATTCTATCCCACATTTCCTCTCAGATGCAAGTATTGAGTCTAACGACTTGATATGCTCACGAACAATAACAAACAGAAGACCAAGAATACACTTAGTCCAACCTGACGTAACACCAGTATCTGGTCCCTTCTTTTTATGACCAAAAGAATCGATGCTAGATGTAAATCCAGATGGGTCACACTTTTCTTTGAGAGAATTTAGTATTGAATATACAGCATCATCAGGCCGTGCAAGTCCAGAAACTCGAATTTGAGGACGAGTAGAATCACCAAGTAGACGACTAAATTCACTGGATATTTGTTCCACTGTTTTATGTTGTAAACCCATACATAATAGGATAACCTACATCGAAAAAATGTTAGACAACTGACATAGTATATACATGAATAAATAAAAACAAAGCTTCAACATGTGATTGTAATAAAACAATGTACAATTACATTCTTCACATATACCAGAAGTGGGTAGGTTGATGATTATAAGAGTGGACCAAAACAATATTCCACCAACAGCAAGAGCAAATTACTACACATAGATCAGTTTTCGTTATCTTTTAATCTTTGATGGGCTAACACAATCCGTTGCGTTTATTACTGACGAATAAAACCAAACACGCTCGTCGAATATCAGTTTTTTTCCGAGAAAATGATATGAAAACAAAACGACCCTACTGCTATAATAATTCACAATTTTAGTAGCCAAGAGTACACTAGCTATTGACATATATTTGGATATGTTTATTTAAAGGTTTTATTGTTGTAAGGTTGCTGGCTAAAAAAGAATGCACATTTAGTTTACGATAATATTCGTAAAATCCAATAATATTTGTAAAAGTGGAAGTTATTAAATTAATTTCCAAAGGAAATAATTAGTTTTCCGGATATGTTGTACGAGAACTCAGACACCTTCAAAAACAATTTTAATATGTAACATATCTATACAGTATAAACTCAGGTACTCGGCTTCGAGCCACACTTGTTATGTGAGAGTTGTTGATGCTTTAATTATTGGGTTTATAACATAAAAATTTCAGTAAAACAATAAACCCGGTGATTTTAATACTACTTAAACTCCCAATCTAAGCACGATTTCGGCCTGAGATCGTACAAATAAAATGCGATCGCTTTTACCATAAAGCCACTCCCCACTTAATAATCAATCATGCAAAACATAAGACCTGGTATACGCGTACATCGGTTCACATAATAATTAGTTTAATATAAGGAATAATAAGGTGGCAATATACTTTTGCTATTGTTTTGTGATGATATGAACTACGTATCATCCATAAATTATGAATTTGTAATTATCACTACCAAGGTCTAACTTGATAATTTCAAATAAAAGTACTGGTTATATTGCTAATAATAGAAACAATCGTTTATTTGTAAAGTTCCAATGAGTAGAAATCTGCGATTTCTGATATTGCTTACTCAAAGAAGCACATCACACTAGGTTGCAAAATTTCAGAATTTTCAGAAATATATTTAAATTAATAAAATCACTATGTTTACCTGTTGAGTTTTATTTAAGCGCACATTTGGCAGACGCCTTTGGAAATAAATCTGAGCTAAACGAGGTAACAGATCGTTGACAAGATGGAAATCAACAAGTGACCTGCTATAACGCCTTAATCTTTCTAAATCCATTGCATTAAATAAGCTGCTAATTTCTGATTGGGTAAGCTCTAATATAGAAAAAGAAGTAATCAATGAAACACTTTTTACCAGTATATTTCGAAGTTGTGCTTGTATTAGCATCATACAAGTATATATAAATAACAGTAAATCTACATCAGTTTGGATCAAATGCTATTATGAATTACGAAGTTGAAGGCGATCGTGCTGTTACCTTCTTTTACTTGCTTCATAAAAGTGGTTGTAACTTCCTTAACTGAAAGAATTCTTTCTGGTTGTACCTTTCCGTTTCCCCTATTATTATTATTATTATTATTATTATTATTATTATTATTATTATTATTATTATTATACAACCAAACACTAATCTGTGGTCGTTATTGTGCTCCCTTTTTTTCTTTCTTGCACGCACCTTACATTCTTTTCTCTCTTTCCATCCTCATTGTCATCGTGTGGTGCATAAGCATCTGGTGCCCACTTGTACCAATATTTATGTGATCAAATAAAATAA